TCGGAACTGCCCCCAAAGTTCGGTGTGTTGACTGTTTGTGTCTTTGCTTTGTGGCTACTGGAACGTGGTAGATACCTTTAAAAGGTGCAAGCTAGCAGGAAGCTATAGGTCACTGGGGCTCTGCCCTCAACGGGGACTGTGGGACACAGGTCTTTACTTCCTTCTTTGCTTCCCAGTTCTTAGGAGGTGAGTGCCTTCTTCCACCACATACTCCAGCCATGGGGCGCAGCCACACCGCAACCCAAAGGTAAGGTCAACCACCTGAGACCTCAAGCCTCCAGAAAAGTAAGCCCAAATAACCTTTTCCTCATTTGCAGTTTATTATCTCAGGTATTTTGTTACAGTAACACAAACCTCATCCCCTGGATGATGGAGTGTTGGTCATCAATAAATGGAATGAAGTACTGGTACATATTCCAACATGAACAAACCTAGAAAATCTTAGGCTGAGTGAGGAGGCCAGTCACCAAAGATCATAGATTGCGTAATTCTATTTATATGAAATGGAAAAGGCAAATTCATAGATATAGAAAGCAGATCAGGGGGGAGGTCAGAGGCAGTGCACGTGCCAATAGTCCCTCTACTCAAGAGGCTGAGCTGGGAGGGCCACTTGAAGCCTGGAGTTCAGTATCAGCCTGGACAACACAGTGAGACTCTGTTCCAAAAGAGAAAGCAGAAAAGATTCATAGGATTGTTAGGGGAGGAGAATGGGGAAAAAGAGAGTAACTGCGAAGAGGTATAAGGGTTTCTTTGGGGGTGACTAAGAGCGCTCTGAATTTAGATAGTGGTGGTGACTGCACAACTCTGGAATGTACTGAAACAATGAACATTGCACTTCAAAAGATTAATTTCAGGGCCGGCGAGATAGCTCGGTGGACTAAGCGCCTGCTTTGGCAAGCACAAGGACCAGGGCTTGATGCCGGGTCCTGCCTGCTGTGTGGCCCCGCCACTGGGTGCACTGCATCTGTCATGGAGTCCGGGGCATGGTGGCGCATGTCTGTAATCCCAGAATTAGGGAGGCTGAAAACAAGAGGATCCCTACAAGTCTGAGCTGTGTAGTGAGACCCTGTACTAAATATGTAAATGGGAAAAAAAAGATTAATTTAATGGAGTGTGAATTATAACTTCCTAATTTTTATTTATTTGTTTATTTAGGAAGGGTCTATATAGTCCAGGCCTTGAACTTGCAGTGATCCTCCTGCCTCAGCCTCCTGAGTGCTGGGATTACAGGCATGTGTCACCACACTCAAACCCCCAAAAATTTCAAAAACACTTTCTTGCAAGACATTTTACTTTTCTCCAAATTGGATCTTTAGGAGTCTAATACTCTTTTTCCTCAAAAAAAGGTTTTGCATCTTGATATCAACTTCCCTCTTAGTAGAGATAATAATACGTTATTCTCATATTACATTTCTCTAGAACATGTAAGTAGTAGGGTCGGGGAGATAGCCTAGTAGAATAAGTGCCTGCCTGGCAAGCGCAGGGTTCTGAGTTCAATCTCCAGTACAAAAAAAAAAAAAAAGAATATATAAGTAGTACATTTGAATTCAATGAGTCTGTCCACTATTCCCTAAACACTATATTATCTATGAGCTATTTATTCACCAGGAATTTTATTTATTTATTTTCCACCAGGAACTTTTGAAATAGCTCTGTGTAGATGTACCACAGCTACAACAGAAACGTGAAAGTTACTTATTGGCTCTTCAGTCTCAATAATTTTAGGTGATTAAATAAACAGATGGCTGGAGCTGGAACTCAGGACTGTGTGCTCACATCTCTCATCAGCCACTCCACATTCTTTCCAACTCTACAGAGTGCGAATCAAACCAAGCCAACATCCAGGTGTAGTGGAACATGCCTGCAATCCAGCACTTGGGAGCCTGAGGCAGGAGGATCACCTTGAGTTTGAGGCCAGCTTGGGCTACATAAGCAAGTTCAAAGCCAGCCTGCATTACTTAGCAAGAACCTGCCTCAAGAAGGAAGGAAGGAAGGAAGGAAGGAAGGAAGGAAGGAAGGAAGGAAGGAGGGAAGGAGGGAAGGAGGGAGGGAGGGAGGGAGGGAAGGAAAGAAAGAAGAAAAGAAGGAAAGAAAGCCAGTGGTGATCATGGCTTCAGGGGCCTGTGACTCCTGGGAATTATATGCAAAATATTGTGACAAGTATGGATGCCCTCTCAACAAATCCAAAAGTTTTATCGACACCTCAAAGAGGGTCACTGGGCAACATTTTGGACACATACACCACGTCTGAAATATTTAGATTTGGTGTCCCTGTCTGTGCTTCAGTTTGCTTAGAATCTTTTCCCCTTTTGCCTGTCTTAGCATCCCCTCTTCAAGAGCATGGGGAGAGAGCCTTTCTCCCGCAGGCTACAGGGCTGTTGGAGGATCTTCCCTCCTCATGTGGTTGCTAAATTAGGAAAATGAAATTTAGGAGATGATCACACCTTCCCTAATTCAGTGCCTTCTAGGAGGACGCCCAGTTGTCCATCTCGGAGAACTGGGAGCAGGGGTCGCTGGGGAGAGGCCGGAGACTGCCAGATACACACACACACACACACACACACACACACACACCCCTTTCCTTCCTCCCCACCTCCCTTTGAGAAACTTTGTGGGAGTGGAAAGGACCAGGAACCAGACAGTGCGTTAAAGACACAGGGATAAAATACAGCGCGGTTCAGGAGATCTGGTCCTTGGGGCGGCTAAGAGGGGATGAGCTCAGAGGCTAATAGGATCGGCCATGGTGAATCCCTAGGCAGGGCACGCACTGCACGGAAGGCTGAAGCACCGGGGTGGCTCGAGGTCATCACTACAGGGGCCCAGGAGGGAGAGAGAAGTTTAAGGAGCCAGGTTATGCAGCCAAGACAGGGACGATGAGCGACGAGCCCCGTGGCAGGGTGGGATGAAGATTTAGCCCCGCCTTGACTGAAGGTGGAGGACTCGCCCCTCTCCTCTGGGGCACCCACCTCTCCCCACCCCTCACCCCGCAGTGGGTCTGGGGTCCTCGGAGGCATTAAACCAAGACCACCTCGGTATCGCTGATGTCTTGGCCGGGAACTGAGGGTCAGAGTGAATCAGTCCGGAAGGGCGAGGGCTGCAGAAAGGGGACGACTGTCCCTAGGATCTGTGCTTCCCCTCTTTTCCTCCCCTGTCAGGCTCCCACTTGGTAGCATCCTTCTGATCCCCTTATCTCTAAGTCGCTCAGGGAAATACCCTCCTGCAGGAGCCTTCCCAGAAGTGCTGTCCTGACTGCCCAGAAGCCATGAGTCCGGCAACTCCGGTAAGGAAGAGTTCCCAGGGCTGTTGAGGGTGCCAAGGGGAGGGGGGTGCTGCAATAGGAGGTGAGACCAGGGACCTTTTAGGTCCTAGCAGGCCCCTGATCTTTGAATGATATCCTGTGTCTGCTCCCATGTAAGTGGGGGCTTGGGGTTCAGCTATTGAAATAAATGATCCTGTAGGATAGACTCAGGTGACAGATAAACATTCTTCCTTCTCCAATTGAACCCCTCCAATACTCCCCCCACCAGTTCTGGGCACTGAACCCAGGACCTTCTACTGAACTGCATCCCCAGCTTCTGGGTGTTTGTTTGTTTGTTTGTTTGTTTGTTTGAAACAGGGTCTGGCTAAGTAGTTCAGGCAACTTGAACTCACTAAGTAGCCTGGGCTAGCCTTGGACTCATGTCAATCCTCCTGCCTCAGCCTCCTAAGTGCTGGCATTTTCTTTCTTTCTTTCTTTTTTTTTTCTAAAGTCTAAGATAGTGGCCTGGTAAGTCACTAAGATGTCTAGCCTGGCCTGAACTTGCAGTCTTGGGTTAGAGTCTTGACAATGCTGTGGTTTTCTCACCTGCCATTGCTGGTGCACTCGCCAGCCCCGCATTTTATTTTTAAACACACCAGAGACCCTTCAACTTTCTGACCAGCTCCGCATGGAGCCCTTGGGTGTCGAAGGAGGCTGCTACTCGTCCTGGGAGACCCTCGTCCTGTGTACCTGGAGCTGCAGGGACGCCACACTGCACCTTGCTCCTTGGACCTGGCCCACTTTTATTTTCTATTTTGAGACAGGGTCTCACTAAGTCATTAAATTTTTTTGTTTGTTTGTTTTTGTTTTGCTTTTTGATACTGAGAATTGGACTCAGGACCTTGTGCTTGCCAAGCAGTCACTGTGCTGCTGAGCTACATCCCTGGCTCAGTCACCAAGTCCTGCCCAGGCTGGGCTAAAACTTGTGATCCTCCTGCCTCAGCCGACCAGAGTGCTGGATCCCAGGACCAGATGCGCCACCACACTCTGCTTCTGTGAACCTTCTCAATGGCCTTGTCCTTGGGCAGTTTGCCTGCAAGGCCACCTCCATTTTGGGTACATTTACTGTTCCTTTTCTGTTTTTCCCTCTTTTTTGATTTTCCTGTTTAGTTTTGTTGGAAGCTAGGACCTGAGCCACAAATTCCTAAGAAAAAGTATTTTATGTGGTTGGGGATCTGGCTCAGTGGCACAGCACCTGCCTGGCACGTATGAGGTTGTGAGTTTGATTCCTGCTACGAAAGAAAAGTGTTCTATGATAGAGCCTGGGAGTGTAGCTCAGTGGTAGAATCCTTGCCTACCCTGTGTGAGCCCGTGGGTTTGATCCTCAGCACCACAAGAAGATAGAAGTATTTTATCACAAATTAGCAAACAAATATCTGAACAGGAAAACAAACAGTGTGGTAGTGCAAACCTGTACACTCAAGTGAAGGACGCAGGAATATCGCTCGATGCTAACCTGGGCAACCTAACGAGACTACCGTCTTGGGGACAAAAAGGAGAAAAGAAAATTGCAGGCGTGACTTCTCAAGTACTGGGAAAAGCTATCCAGTGAGCTCCTCCGGCCAACCTTAGGGCTGCAGACTACAATTTCCATTAGGCCTGGGTCTTTGTAGCTCCTCCTTAAACCACGCCCCCTTCGGGGGTGGGGTGGGGTGGGGCGGGGCGGGAGGGCTGAACCCGGGGTGTCTAGGCCTCGGGCGCAGCCTGGGGAATGAAATGCCCCAGGCTCTGTGAGTGCACAAGGCGCAGGCGCAAAGGGGTGGGGTGGCAGCTGCATCGGGTAGCAGGCCGTTTTGGCAGCACCATCCGCAACAGGTGTAGACAGGTGGGTGCATTACGGGAGTGGGCGTGGAGAGGGTGTTTGGATCTGGCCCTCCAGTCTGATCTGTGCCAGAGCCTGGAGAGAAGTGGGGAGCGGCAGGAGAAACAGATACAGGACCAGGTCTTTCACCCAGGTGTGCCAGCTCTTGTTACGCAGCTACGGGCGTGAGCAGGTGGGGGAGGGGAAGAGGCACCCGCTCAAAAGTAAGTCGCCCTCAAGATTAAGGGTACCTGGATTCCAGTCCAAGCTCCACCTGTACAGGGACGAGTCATTTGCTCGCAGTTTGTCCGCCTTATAGTATGTGCACAGATCCCCACTTAGCGGGGTTGTGGTGGCGACAAAGTGAGTTCATAGTTTGTGCAGCGGCTCCTCGACTTTGCTGCTCTCCAGAGTCACTTGGGGCTCCTTAGGACCAGCAGCACCTGTCCCCCACCGCACACACTGGTGAGCACACGTTCTCCCAGCACCTGTAGGATAGTAGCGAGAAGCCGCGGCTGCTTACTAACCGAGGGGTCTGAGCAAGAGACCACCTCTCCAGGCCCTAGTTTCCTAGTCTTTAAAACTGGAATAACAGCAAAGATTGTTAGAAGGCTTAAGTAGGCTAATAAGTGAGAGCAGAGCGGTATACCCTGCACATACTGTTCCATCAGTCATAATTACTGTTAAACTATTATGTAATGCACTTGTTAAATGGCTCTCGTGGGGTCCAAGTGTAAAGGGGGCTTTTCTTAGTCGTGGTAGTCCCTCGCTCACTGGCATGATGCTGATACTCTGTGTAACATTTCAGAAGCCCATTTGCTAATGTTGCATGAATTTTAAGAGTTCTTCACCCCAGTCTCTGCCCGCTCTGTAGACACGATTCTAAGGAAGTTCCAGTTTCACAGACTCTGAGGCCAGGCGGAGGGCGCCAGGAGCAGGGGCTTGACCATGGTTCTGGAGCTGAGACTGGAATCCAAGGCTTCTGATCCCAGCCCCCACCGCATGCAGGGGATGGCTGCCCGGCTGACCCTGCCAGACAGAGCTCCCATTCTCTGTCTGGAGCAGAGGATGGGAGGAGGTGGAGGCTGCCTGGGCCTTGTTGTTTACTAACACTGCCTGAGCATTTCCCGGGTGCCTCCCCAGGGAGGATGGGCCGGGGGGCTTCTCTCTGGGGAGCTGCTGTGGAACTGCCAATGAGGCTCCTGTGTCCTGACTCCTCCAACAGGTCCCACCTGATTCCACTCTGGAAAGCCCTTTTGAAGAAATGGCCCTGGTGAGGGGCGGCTGGCTGTGGAGACAGAGTGAGTGACTGAGGGCCCTGCCTTTGTCCACCCTGTACCTTATCCTGGGACGGGGGTGTGGGAACTGTGTGTTAGGCCAGCAAAAGTGAATCCTCTCCCAGGACATCAGAGCCCTCTACCTTCTCCTTTGTGCTTTCCCCTCTGCCTGATGTCCTTCCCCTTCCCAAGTGCTCAGCAAGAGTCTGCTTAACTCCTCAGGGCCCAGTCCAGAGTCCCTGCTTGGATGAGTCTTCCCCAGCTTTTCCTTACTCCTCGGCCTGCCCCTAGCTGGGTCAGAGGCTCCCTCTTCAGCACCCACAATGATCTATAATATAACTGTTATTACCTGTGGGTCTCCTTACTCCGCTGCTCAATACTGGCCCTGTGCTGTGAGCTTCCAGGGCAGGGTCTGGATTCAACTCTATGTATCCATAACACCCTGACCCAGGGCTAGACACAAGGCAAGGCCCCGGAACAAAATGAAAAATCCTTCTGCTTGGGAATCCATAAAGCTCGAAACAGCGCTATTATGCCTTGCCCTTTTCCTGTTAGGATTCCAGTTGCAAAAGGTCTGAAGCTATAGCAGTCTGGGGCTTCCAGAGTCATAATCTGAACAAGAGCTAAAACAGCCCCTGCCGGGTTTCAGGACCTGTGTGGGGAGTTAAAACCCCAGTCTGGTGGTGGCAGAATGACAGAAGTGACTCACACAAGCCGAGATGAGATGGAGGCTCAGAGTAGAGAGAAGCCTTTGACCTTGAAGAGACCTTGAGCTTGGCCTTAGGAACTCCTAAGCAAGGAGTTTGATCGTTCATTCACTGTTTAACACATTTATTGAGCCTCCACTATGTATCAGGCTAGTGGGAGGCAGAGAGTAAGACCAAAAAAAAAAAAAAAGCCCTGCCCTCATTTCAGGAGGTAGATAGACAAGGAAGAAGTTAAACACTGAGAGCCAGCCTGCCTTTGGTCTGGACTGTTCTGCAGGCTCCATCCTCCGCCGCTGGAAGCGGAACTGGTTTGCGCTGTGGCTCGATGGCACTCTGGGCTACTACCATGATGAGACAGCACAGGATGAGGAAGACCGCGTGCTCATCCACTTCAACGTCCGTGACATAAAGGTCGGCCAAGAGTGTCAGGGTAAGCAGAAGCCCCTCTTCTGTGGCACTGGGAGCACAGGCAGGGCTCTCCCATTGTGTCTGAGAATAGCTGCAAACGGAAGGCTCTTGAAACTCTCCAGGAGCTTTGCAGACACTGCTTCTGGGCCTTTGTGAACTCCAGTTTAGTTAGGTCTGAAGTGAGAAACCTGCCCTTTGTTGAGTTTCTCCCCTGTACTGTGTGGCAGAGGTTAAAGTCAGATGCACTGGCATTAGGAACTCAATGAATGTAAAATAAAGGGGCCAAAAGAAGTGACTGTCTCAGTCACATAGCACACCTCCCAGTTCTTCAAGGTGCAGCCTGAGAGATGTGCCTAAGAAGCCAGTAAGGCAGAGTTGAGGAGAGAAAGAGTAGAGCAGAATCCCAAGAAAGTGTATATAATCAGAGAAAGCAAAGGCCAGTAAACAGAAGTCAGCTCTTGCTCTTGTTCCTGATTACTGGCAGGAGTTTGGGCCTGTGGAAAGCTCATATATGTGTGTCTGCTTCCAGATGTGCAGCCCCCAGAGGGCCGGAGCCGTGACGGGCTGTTGACTGTGAACCTAAGGGAGGGCTCCAAACTGCATCTGTGCGCAGAGACCCGGGATGATGCCATGTGAGTGGCTCCCAGGAAAGGACAGATAGGCTCTCAGGGAATGCAACCAGAAGCCCCCTCCTCGCTGGATCTTCAGGTCCCTGGAGCGGGATAAAGACCTGACAGCAAACCTGTGTCCTGGAGGCTGGGTGGAGGAGATCTGAATGAGTCCTGGGGATTGGTGTGGACTGTGATGAGCTCAGTGTGTGGAGGTGGAGGGTGCCCAGGGCCTGCAAGAGTGTGGGGTCGGAAGAGGTTAGTGATGACAAGTGAGCAAGCCTGTCAGATTCAAGAATCTGTCAGCCTCACCTGGGTGCTGTGGAGGTGCAGCCAATTGTATCCTTAAGGGACCCTCCCTCCTGCTCCCTGAGCAGATGCTCTGGTAGACGGGCTTGGATCTGCAGGAGAGACCTGCCTACGGAGGCAGCTGCCCAGGCACCATAACAGGGCAAATCCAAACCCGGCTCTGGGGCAGGTGCCATCTGCTCCCACACATTCCTTCCCTTCCTACTCTGGACTGAGAAGGAGTCCAAGTCTTTGTGCTAGAGGATGGTGAAAGAGATGGGTGTGCAGGAGTTGTGGGGAGCTGAACTCTAGGCAGACAGCACAGAGCAGCCTTGTCCACCCCAGCCAGCTGCCATGGCAACCAATAAAGGCCCAATTGTCCATTGTCCACTGGACATTCCTGGGGCTCTGGGGCCACAGCTTTGGGGAACTGTGCTCCTAGGATTGGGATGGGAGGTGGGCTGCAGCTGGAAAACCTGCTCAGGCATGTTAGAGTGGGAAGAGCCCTCCGAGACCCCCAAGTCCAACTGTCGTCTGTGTGGATGGGGCACCTAGAGCTTCCCAAGAGGAAAGGACTGTAGAGTGAATTAGTCTGACCCAGGCTGCATCTTGTGACAGGCAGGGAAGGGCTTGCTTTCGTCTACCTGAGAGAATCAGAAAGATCTTCCCCTTCATAAGAGACTGGGACTAAAACCTGCTTTAAGGAGGAAAATCTAGAATACGAGAGCCCCAAACTCCCTTCCCTCAAACTTTCTCCTCATGGTGTGATGGGGTTTGCTTTGCAGAGCATGGAAGACGGCGCTGCTGGAGGCAAATGCCACCCCGGTGAGCCCCATTCTCCTTTCCTCCCAGCTCCATGTGCCATGGAATCATGGATGACTCAGACTCGGTCTCCACCTGCCAGGGGCTCTTGAGTTAGTGGGCACAGACTTATACAGACTTGGTTACCCTGAGTCCATGTGGAAAAAGGGGAGAGGCCAGCCAGCTGACACCCCAAGAGCTAGCTGAATGTGAAATAAAGGAGAGAAGAGAAGCTTCCCTGAAGACTTGAAGGGGGTGACATAGAAGTGAGGGAAAAGGGGCTTTTATGGAGCAACTATCATGTGCCAGTCACGGTAAAGGTGTAATTCTAGAACACCTAGATCATTCCCTCTCTGCAGATAATAAGGCTGAGATCCACATAACAAATACTTAGCAAGTTCCTACTATGTGCTAGCCTTTGTGCCAAGGTTCAGGCATCAGAAGTAAACCAAGGGAATATGGGCTCTTGCCCCCCTGGATTCAGCCCAGTGAGCTAGATGTGAAACAACTAATTAGCACTTCCATCTCAACAGTCGCCTGTCCAGGTGGAACCTCAGATGAGGCTTAAGCTGAGACTCGAAGCACAAACAGAAAGTAGATAGAGGGTGTAGGGATGTGGAGAAGGCAATGGTTCTGCCTGCAAAGGGAGAACTGAGAGGGGTAAAGGTGTTGGCAGGTTGAGGAGCAGAAGGAATAGGGGGTGGCTGGAGCTCAGGGAGAGTCAATGAAGAAGAGAGGTTGCTAGGGTCAGCCTTGGGGGGCTTGTGTTAAACATGTTGGTTTCTTCTGAGAGCATCAGGAAGGCTTTGAAAGTTTTAAGCAAAGGGATGCCATGATCAGACTGGATCGGATCAGTTTTGCCGTTCTAAAGACAGGCTAGTAGGTAGGAAATGAAATGTAAGGGAAGAGTGGGTACCCTGGGACCCGGTAGGAGGCTGGGACAGTGTCTCTGGTACAGGCTGGAGGTCTGGGCTAAGGCGTTGCTGTAGAGATAAGCTGAGGACTGAAGGAGCTGCGAGTTTGAATAGCTGCCAAGGAGGCCTAGTGTGGCCTCCGCCCCCACCTGCCAGATCACAGAACCTACAGCTGCTCCTCCTGTCTGCCGCAGTGGAGCCTCCTCTCAGCTAGAGAGAAAGTCCACTGGGAAGCAGCAGAGGAGACTGGGCCACACTGAGAAACTCCTTTGGGCCTCCACCTACTGGGGGCACCTCCTTACATCATCTTCCAGCCATCCTGATGGGGGATGTCTGGGACTTGGTATTATTAGGGCTATTTTACAGGGAAGAAGCTGAGGCTCAGAGAAGGGACCTGTCCTAAGTCAGAGTGCTCAGCCAGTGGGAAAGCCTGAATTAGAGCCTGGGTTGGTGAGGCTCTGTGAGGGTGTGTGTGTGTGTGTGTGTGTGTGTGTGTGTGGCGAAGGCCCACAGCTGGCCTGGCCACAGGGTTTAGCAGGGAGGGAATAACATAGGAGATGTGACCTCTGGGGTCATCTGCCCAGGGCCTCAGAGTCCAGCTGGAGGAACTGGACTTTTCCTGAAGGTTGTAAGAGATAGCGGGAGGGCTGCTTGGAGCTTCCAGGTGGAGAATAGTGAGGAGGCTGGAACAGTTGTCACCAGGGGAAGACTCCAGTTGGGCTACCTGAGCTGTGCACTCTAGACTGCCTCTGTGTAGGGCTGATGGGTTCCATGAAGAGAGGCGGAAGGAAGGAGGTGAGAGCTGACCGTTCTGTATCTGTGACTCTATGAAGCTGTCTCGTCCCTCTTCTGCTGTCCACCCTCCTGCTGCCTTAGACCACTACTCTACCCTACCTCCTTGTGCTCCATACACACGCGCATCCCTGGGGGCCCGGGGCTTACGAGGCATGCTTGTGCCTCTGTCTTTGTGCCCTTGTCTGCCCGCATCTGTGCTCACCTCTGTGTGTGTAAGCTGCTGCTCATGCCTGTGTAGGAGTGACCTGTGCTGTGTCCCTCTGTGAGTGATAGCTTCCGCTCCATTCTGGGTAGAAGCCTCAGGAAGGGTCCTTGACTCTGGCTGTACCAGGGAACATGGAGCCCAGGGACGTGGAGTCAGGGGCGAGGCTGGGGTGTTGGTGATGGAAGCGGCCAGGAGCATGAGAAGGCAGATCAGGTCTACCCCGTTCTCCCTGCAGCCTGGAAGCCCAGCTGTATGAAACAAATAGAGTAGGTTGGAAAGAGGCTGCTGGCCAGGCTGCTCTGGCAGCCATCAATCCTCTCTGGTCTCCCACCTTGCCATGCGCTAAAGAAGAGCCCCACCCTCCCCACCACCACCTCCACCCCGTCCCAGCCCAGCAAACAGGCAAGAGCTCGACTCTCTCCAGGTGTAAAGGGCCTCTGACATGTCCCTCCCTCCCCCCCTCTTGGGTTTCTGCGGCTTGAGCAGGCCCCAGCTGGAGTCACCGTCCCACCCAGGAACCGACGGGTTTGCCCCAAGGTCAGGTGCGTGACCCGCTCATGGAGCCCCTGTAAAGTTGAGAGGCGGATCTGGGTAAGTGCTGGTTCATCCCTCCTGCCTCCTTTCTGGCCACTAGACTGAGCATCCAAAACAAGGTCGCCTCCTTTCTCTGCTCGCAAACATGCCATGGCTCTCTGGCTCTTACGGGATGCCAAACGCAGCGTGGCTTTCGAGGCCTGTGGAATCTGCTGACCTCACCTGCCACATCCCCTCATGCCTGTGCCAAGCCACCACTGCTCCCTCTGCCCTGCCGCTCCACTCTCCCTTTCCAGCCACTGTGCACGCGCACTGTTCTCCGCGCTATACTCTGCTGCTTCATTCACCTCTCGACTTCTCGAAGGCCCATCCCAAAAGCTACCACCTCCAAAGTGAGGACTTCCCAGACTTCAGGCACTGTCACTCCCTCCCACAGCAGATGCCACTGTTACTTAGTGCTGTCTTTATTTGCTGGTTTATTCCTGTTTTTGCCTTACTTGAGACCTATAACTTCCTCCAAGGCAAAGACCAGGTTTTAACTAGCTCAGCCACTAGGGAGCCTGGCACGGGGATGGATACAGACTAGATGTAAAATCAGTGCTCAGTGATGGGGACAATCTACTCTGTCCTCTTGCTCCTAGCACACAGGCATGTGGCACAAATAGGTCTCAGACAATTTTTACTGAATGGGGAGGAGAAGAGGAAAAGATAGGAAGGAGGGAGGGAAAACCTCTATGTGACATTACTGTGATTCACTGTAATTTAGTCTAGTTCTTTCTCTCCCCTACGTGAATTTTTCTCCAAGCAGGACTTGGACCTGAATCCTTTCTCTATCCCCAGTGCTGAGCAGTGGCTGGCATGGGGGCTCAATTAGGACATTGTGGTCTTAGGTCCACCTTGAACTCCAGTGTGCTCAGTGGTGCTGTGTTAGAATTGCGTAGGACTAAAACAACAACTGTTCATGTCCTGCCTCTTGATGTCCAGATTTCATAGATCTGGGGTGTGGCCTAGGAGAGCAGTAGCTTTAAAAATTGTTCCTGGTGATTCTAACAGGCAGAGCCCCTGAACCTGGAAGCCTTGGCCCACCTCGTTACAGAGACGTGATTCTGCTGGATTCGCACGTTACCTTGGGCAAGAGTAGTGTGGGGAGAACTTTGCAAGTGAGGAGGCTGAAGCTCCAGGAGGTTACTTGACTTGATACATGTCAATGAGTTCCTCAGAGACAAGTCTGGGACTTCCAGTCATTGTTCTGAGGCTTCCTGCACACCCCAACCTAGAATACAAGTTTGTTTAAAGTGCTGATGTCAAAATGCAGGACTTAAGAGACTGAGGTTTATCTGAAGTGGGTAATTTACACACAACCCCCTGATTGGTCAACACTGTCCCAGTGCACAGGAAGGGCAAAGACTTTGAAGAGGGAGAGGATCAGAGAGCAAATCCTCAGGTTCTGTCCATGAGGTCTCTTGGGGTGGCCCCACTAGTTGCCAGGAGACCTGCATGAGTTTACTTCTGGGCCTCCCAGACTGGAGGGTAGAAACAAGCATCTCAGGGGCAATGAGGTGGTGTTTTCCACCCTCTCCAGGGCCTCAGAAGGCCACGGGCTCCCTGCAGCTCCAGCACAGGTAGAAGCTTTAGACTTAGATTCCAAAACATCAGTGGATAGGAGTGCTTCATCCTGCTGGCCCTTTCTGTGTTTGGAGCCCCAATCTGACCACACCAATGAGCCTCCCTGGGGACTGAGGACCAACACTACTACTTATCTCAGTTTCCTGCACTCCCCAGGGACTGTTTTAGTCCATAACTTGAATCTCATTCAACTCAGAGTTGGGCAACTTTAGTTCCAGTTTAGCTCTGTAGCTGAGTCACTTTAGCTAAATCCAGTAAGCATTTCCTAGGCCCCTGGCATATTCCAGTTAGGTCTGATTGAGCTTGGAGGGGTCTCCATGTGTGCTGGGAGAAAACCCACGGGGAAACAAATAACACATTGTCATTGATCATAGTGTGAGGGAGGGCGGTCTGAGGGCTGTGGATATCCAGATGGATGCCAGAGCCTGGGCTTGAGGAGAGCCATACCTGAGCTGATTCTGAAAGACAAATTCGATAATTGAGTAAGGACAGGTAAGGAGGAGTCACTATCGAAGGAAATGGCTTGGAGACAAAGTCATGAGGTGTGCTTGGAGAATGTCCCTTTATAGCTGAATTTCTCAGGACAAATGCCAGCACGTCAGTGTCCTTTACCTCAACCATTCTTCAGCCTTCTGTGGTCTGGCTTCTTCTCTCCTATGCATTTTTTTGAAAAGCATTTTTCAGAAGCTAGATTGCTAAAACCACTGGCTTATTCTCTTGGCACTGGCCAAAAGGATAGACAGAAGAGCATAGTGAGCAAATAAAGCCATGCGGCCTGGTGGCTAGTGGGATATGAAAGGCAAGCGTGCAATGACAGAGGTGCCAGCCCGATTCCTTGGTTCGAATGCGTAGTGGTAGCGTTTACAGAGAGAAGCACTGACAGGAAGAGAACACACTGGGGAGATGGGGAGATGTAACCACTTTGAGGTAGTGGAGTTTGAGACAACCTGGGCTTCTGGTGGCAGTTGAACCACTCAGGTGTGAAGCCCTATGAGCGACATATAAAAAGACTAAGAGGAAGGATCCGGAAGAGAAGGAGATTTTGCTACTTCTCTAGATATGCTGCCACGTGAGTAAAATAAGGGGTTTAGAATAAGTGTTTCTGTTTAAACCAGAATGTATTTATTGGTTCCTTCCATTCACTAAGCCCTGTTAATGACACAGATTAATAGGTTATTGCCCAAAGGTAGTTCACACTAGGGGGTAGGCAGGGAGAGACAAAAGATAAGGCACAAATATAGTCCATAAAGAATTCAGGAAGATCACAAGTCTGCATCTTGTACAGCAATTAACCACTGAGAAGAATGTATGCAGTGTATTATTTGTTGAAACTGTACTTTCGATTTGATTTGAAACTGTCTCATTGCTATATGTTTATCAATAAAACTTTGAAAAGGAAAAAAGAATTCAGGAAGTCTAGGTATGGTGGTGCACACCTATAAGCCCAGCACTAGGGAGACTGAGGCAGGAGGATCTCTGAAAATTCAAGGCCAGCCTGAAGTACATAGGAAGATGCTGTCTTTAAAAAAAAAAAAAAAAAAAAAAATCAGGAAAGATTTATTCTTAAGATCAGGTAGGATTCCTAGAGTGGGTGACTTTTGACCTAAGATTTGAACTGCTGGTAGAAGTCCAGTTGATGATTAAGGTAAGTAGGAAGTAAATTGCAGAGAAAGCACCGACCATTTTCTGCTCAGTCCCAGTTCTGGCACTGTGAGAATAACGCCTGGAGGTTACACATATGGATGCCTCCCTCCAGACCCAGCACGCAGTAGCTGCTCGGTAGTAGTTTAGTTACGAGTGTTCCTTCCCTTGCCCATCCTTTTTCCCTTCTGTCCTCAACCTTTTATTTCCTTACTGGGGTTTGGCCTAGACCCTCCTTGGTCTAGGAGAATGATCAGTCCAGTTTCTCTAAGTCAGATCATTGTACAGTTGCTAGCAAATACTTGACTACCCATGAAGAGAGAGGCTGGGGAGATAGCTCTGTGTCACAAATGCCTACCAGGCAAATGCAAGGTCTTAAGTTCAATTCCTGGTACCCAAAGAAATGAAACAAAAGCCCAGACCCATGAAGAGAAATTGGGAACCGTAGAAAAATTTTTCAGGCAGACCAGGGCAGCAGAAAGGGCATGACTTGGGAACCAGATGAGAGCAGAACCTTTATTATTAGTAGTATTATTAGTAGTAGTAGTAGAAGTAGTAGTAGTAGTATTAGCAGTACAGGAGGATCAAACTCAGGACCTTGCACTTGTGAGGCAGGTGCTTATGCCCCTGAGCTATCTCCCCTGCCCAGGAAGCAGAAAATTTAAAAGCAAGGACTTTGTGAGAGGCAGGTCCTCCCTCCTGAGCTGACTGGTACCTGGGGACCCATTTCTAAACTCTAAAAGGAGGCTCTCTGGGGTGGGGATTGGGGGAGGGAGGAAGCAAGGAGTGGGAGGCCAAACCCAGGCCAGGGAGTTCCAGGGCAGCTGACCAAGTCGGATTCCCCAGGTGCGTGTCTACAGCCCATACCAGGACTACTACGAGGTGGTGCCCCCCAATGCCCATGAGGCCACATACATCCGCAGCTACTACGGCCCGCCCTATGCAGGTAAGCCCCTGCGCAGCGCAAGGCCTGCCTAGATCCAGCATCAGGCCCTGCCCACCGGGCCCGTCGGGACCTGGCCTCACGCTTTGGGTGATCCCAGATTTTCCAGAGCTGGGAGTTCCACAAGCCCTTTCCCGTCCTGTGATTCGAAATAGCCCTCCCTACCTTAGATCAGACCAGCTCTCCAGACAGGAGGCCCCAGCTCGGCCAGGGCCTCTCGGTACCGTTCCTGAGCTGATAGCGACCCCTGGTGGTTCATATGGGGACTGCAACCTCTTCTCGCTCCAAAGCCTGGGCTATGGAGCCCACTCAGGTGCGGCGCCCTAATGCTTAAGATCTTGATCCTGGAGTTGCCCCGCCACTCAGCCCTGGCCCCACAGTCCCCGCACGTTTGAGGCAGATGCAAAGCCTGAAAGCCGCGGGAATGGAGCCCTGAGCACGTCAAGGGCTCGGTGTCCCCAGCTGGGAAGCAGCAGAATGGGCTCCGCGCCTTAGAGTTGACTTGGGGCGGAGTCACGCTGATCTGTGACTCACAGAGGAGCTGTTCCTCCCCGTGAAATCAGATTCTCTGGTTCTCCGCAGGTCCCGGCGTGACACACGTGGTGGTGCGGGAGGACCCCTGCTACAGCTCGGGCGCCCCGCTGGCCATGGGCATGCTGGCTGGGGCTGCCACGGGCGCAGCGCTGGGCTCGCTCATGTGGTCGCCCTGCTGGTTCTGAACCTTGGGACTCCGGGCTCCGGACTCTGCGCTTCCCGCTACCCTCCCTTACCTGTTGGTCCCCTACCCCACCCCACCCCCGCACCCACTCTGACCCGGTCCTCTCTGTGAGCCTCTGCTGGGCTTGTACCGTCTCTCCTTTTCTCCTACTCGCCTCTCCCAAACCCAGAAGAAGCTATCATCTCAGGCGTGAACATGGCTTGAAATCCCCACATCCAGACTCCCCAGAAATCCCTTATAGACACAGATGCATGTATTTCCTCCAAACGCACCAGGAGACAGCAAACCACTTCATTTGGCTTCAAATTCCCCAGGCTCTGGTGTGACAACGTGAATAGGGCCCCCTGCTCTCTCCTGGGAAAGCATCAGGCCCGGTGAGGGGAACAGGAGTAAACAAACACTTAGGTTACCTGTCCTTTGACAAGGCAGGGGAAGGGAGGAGGCAGGTAGGCGGGAGTGCTGCTGTTGGCACATGCAAAGAACTAAAGGGGAGGCCATGGGGCGGGGAGGGTGGTCATGGTGAGCTTCGGGCTAGGAAGCTTGCCAAGTAAAGGGGTGATGTGAGTTTTTCATAGAAGTTTCATGACTGTACCTATAATGTGTGTTTTCCTGATTTGTTAGTACTGATCCAAAACATTCAGTTTAGTTCCATTTTTCCTACTAGCAGATTCCTAGGCCCCTGTCCCCCATGACAACAACTGAATTGAGCCTGAGGACTTCCAGGTGGGGGCAGGTGGGTTCCAGCCTTAGCAAGTTGCCTGCATCAGGAAATGCCTTTCTGATCCCTAGAGCTGTCTATTGCTGTGACTTTCACCATTTCCTGCTTTATGTCTTCCTTAATTCTGGGGAGATGGCAGTGTTTCCCTCTAGGACCTGATCTAATTGTGTACCAGCCTGGGAAGATCCCCTGCCATGTGCCTGCCTGCAATCTCTCCCCCAGTCCTGTCCCAGTCACCAGTAGAAATGCTAACACACTTGCCCAGGACCTGTGTCATCCACTAAAATTCCCTAGTTGACTGGGACTCTATTGGCTCAGCTGCAGAGATTATTAATAAAGATGTGGTTGCCTCTAGAACTGGCTCTGACTTGTTTTGTTCCCCCAGGACACCATGCTTTCCTGAGACACCTCTGTGACCCAGCATTTACTAGAACCTTCTCTGATAGGAGGCATGGATGCTGAGGTCAGGCAGCACTTGTGTTACCTGAAAAGTCTGGGGCAAGTCACTGTCTGGACCTTGCTTTCCCTGCTCACTAGGTGGCGGGTTGAAGCTGGTCACCCTGAGGGTCACAAGGAGAGGTTGTCGGGGTCTCTGTTGTCTAAGCTGATGGATGATGCAGAGCAATCCACCTGCTTTCTGAGAGGCCTGTAGCACGGGGATCTTTCTCAATGAGTCTGGCTTTTTTTTTTTTTTTTTTTTAATGTATTTGGTTCAGGGTCTCATTACACAGCTCAGATTCATAGTGATCCTTATGTTTTCATCCTCCCCAGCGCTGGGGTTACAGGCGTGTGCCACACACACAGACTCAGTGAGTTTCCATCCTAGAGTTGAATCAATGAATTATTTTTGTAGAGACCACGGGCAGGAAACAGCCTGCTTCAGTCCTTTTGAGATTATAAGGGACAGAAATTCCTTGCTCAAACTGATTTAGGCCAAGAGAAAACACTGGGATGCACAACTGCTTCCAACTGAATTGGGGAAGCTTCAGGGTCAGGAAGTGGAAATTATTTAAGCCCTAAAGGATAAGTAGGGCTTGGCCATCTGAGAATACAGGGAGGGTGGAGGGCTTTCCATGTAGCAAGATCGGATGGAAGAACCAGCACAAGTAAAGGCCCTATACCTGCAAATGCCGTGAATTTTCAATATCAGTCTTATACCAGCTGCATGCTGAGGGGGGTGGTAGGTGGTTGGCGTATGGTTGAGACTGGCATCTGGGGAACCCCACAGGTCAGGCTCATGAATACATGGCAACCTGGGAAGCAGCAGTGGCATAGGCAAAAGATGGACATAAGGGCCCTTGAGAAGCACAAAGTCTGTGAGCGTTTGCTGTCAAGAGTCACACACTGCATGTGTGCACAGGCCTGAGCTGAGCTCAGAGGACCCAACAGCAGAGCCAGCAGCAGCAGCCATGCTTTGCCACCGCAGCATACTCCCAAAGGATGCCTCTGAGACGAGCTCTGGGAACGTGCCTGCTCTGCAGCCCGCACTCCAGGGCAGAGACCTAAGACTTTTTCAGGGTCTAGTTAGTGTGCAGGAAGAGCCCAAGCCAGCCAGATTCTTTCCCATGATTGTAGACCAAACAGGTGCCCGCGAGCTGCCAGGCAAGGTGTTTGATTTTCCTGGGCAGAACTGGCAGCATGCCCATGCACTGCTCAAGCCTGTCCTGCGTTATCTATTGCTTAAACTTCCACCATAACCACAAGGCTAGTTGTTACCACCATTATCTTACCTACAGAGAAACAGATGTAGAAAGTGAATTGTCCAAAGGCATGCTTTTAAAAACAGAGGAAACAAGGGCCGGCGAAATAGCTCAGCGGATTAAAGCACCTGCAAGCAGGCACAGGGGCCAGGGTTTCGATCCCCAGGCTTGCTGTGCCAACCCGCCCCGGGGCAAGCTGAGACAGCAATTGAGACTGGATGTTTGGGCCACGTACCTACAATTCCAGCTCTTGGGAGGCTGTAAACAGACAGATCACTACAAGTCTGATCTAGTAGTGAGACCTTGATTACCCTGAAGACCCTTCTCTAAAATACAAAATAATAGTAATAATAATAGAGGAAACAAAAAATGAACACCAAGGGCTGGTGAGATGGCTCAGTGGTCTAAAGCACCTACTTAGAACAAGCTTAGCAAAGCACAGGGACCACGGTTCAATCCCCCAGCACCACATGCCAGCCAGCCCCGCCCCCTGGTGGGCTGAGCTGGCCACACACACACACACACACACACACACACATAAATAAATTAATTAATTAAAAAAAATGAACACCAAAATCTCACACCTAAATCCAGAAATGTTAATAAATAACTAGGTGTATATATGAAAGCACAACTTTCAGGATGAATAAACAAGAAAGGCCCAGCAGCATACTGTTTACATATAGTACTGGAACATACAAAAACAATAATAAATTGAAAGGAGAAGGCTGCGTGGCACATGCCTGTTCCCAGCTACTTGGGAGTCTGAGGTAGGAAGATTACTTGAGTTTGCAGCCAGCATAAACAACATAGGGAGACCCATCTCCTAAAACCTCGAAAAGCAAGAAGAAAAAGAAAGTAGAAGGATGGGAAAAGATACATACTATGTCAGCAGTAAGAACAAGAAAGCTACAGCCAGGCATGATGCTGCATGCCTGTAGCCCCAGAACTCAGGAAAGAGTAAGGCAGGAGGATCACTGTGAGTTCAAGGCCAGCCTGGGCTACATAGTGAATTCAAGGTCAGCCTGAACCACTATGTGAAAAAAAAAAAAAGATAGAGCAGCTATTTTAGTATTAAACAATACAGATTTCAAGTTTAAACTTACTAGCTATAAACAAGGACATTTAAAAAAAGTGATGCACAAGGACCAGGGTTTGATCCCTGGTTTCACAGGCTGTGCCACCCACACCTTCCGGGGGGTTGCACACTGAGCCAGTGACCCAGTCTGCGCTTGGTGGCACATGCCTGTAATCCCAGCACTGAGGAGGCTGAAAACAGGAGGATCACTAAGAGTCTGAGCTGCATAGTGCGACCCTGTACCAATACATAAAAATGAAATAAATACATAAATAAGTATTCAGCCAGATATGGTAGCATGTGCTTGTAATCCCAGCACTCAAGAGGCTAAAGCAGGAGAACAGCCTTGCATTTCAGATCAGCCTAGACTATGTGGTGAAATTGTTTTTTTTGTTAAAAACAAAAGATAAATATGGTCAATATACCAGGAATACTAAAACAGCATTAAGAGAGAAAAATTTTTGTTTGTGGTACAGAGGAAGGAACTCGGGTATTTACTACTAAGTCCCCAACCCTTTTTTCAAATTTTATTTTGAGACAAGGTGTCACTAAGTTGTCCAGTCATTGTCTTGAACTTGCAATCTTCCTTCCTCAGTCTTTTTTTTTTAATTTATTTATTTATGTGTGTGTGTGTGTGTGTGTGTGTATGTGTGGCCAGCTCAGCCCACCAGGGGGCGGGGCTGGCTGGCATGTGGTGCTGGGGGATTGAACCGCCTTCCCTGTGCTTTGCTAAGCTTGTTCTAAGTAGGTGCTTTAGACCACCAAGCCATCTCACCAGCCCTTCCTCAGTCTTCTGAGTACTTGGGATTTCAGGAAAGTGCTACACACCTGGCTAAAAGGTAAGTTTTATGGTTACAAACTAAACATTAAAAAGAAAGAAGATATGTGAAATATGGTTGCACATACTTATAATCCCAGCTACTCAGGATGCTGAGGTAAGGAAAAGGGTTGCAAGTTCAGGCCCAGCCTGAGCATCTTGGAGACTTAGTGAGACCCTGTCTCGAAAAAAAAAAAAAAGCTCAGTATATAATTTAGCAATCCCCAATACCAGGAAGGAAGGAAGGAAGGAATGAAGGAAGGAAGGAAAGAAGGAAGGAAGGAAGGAAGGAAGG